CGAATTGCTTTTTGTAGCATTTTTTACTACCGCCTTAGTAGTAGTGCCGGGTCTTATTTCTTCTCTCTGCAGCTCGAGAGCACTGGGAGGATCGGCGCACTTCGGAACGCCACGTCATCATCTATTTTCGCTCCCGCAGCGCGCATCGGCTCCACGGCAGGCGAGGCTTCAAAGTCAGTGTCGCGAACAGCCTGCTGGAGCGTCTCTTACGCTTCAACCACAGCAGCGGCTTCGGCGGCACCTAGCGCGATGATTGTCCAGCAGTGGACGACACAGCAGCCGCGGTTTGGCGGTGTAACTGCTGCGAGCTCGACGATTGAACGGTTCAAGATCCAAATCCGCCCACATAACACGGCTACAGCTCGAATCGTCGAAGAAGAGCCAGAGGATCACACACACAGCAGCAAGGTAAACGACATGACTGAATGACTATGTTTGTCTTACAATCGCCTTTTGTCAAAGTACGTCTCTCTTGGCTGTCGTCGTCTGAGACTTCAACAAAAACAGACAATATTTGCAGCCTCGCTAATAACGCTGGTTTGCTTTCTGGCGTGCAGTCCAAGGCGCAAAACGACCCTCCAGTAGACATGAAGAAGATTGCACTGGATCCGGAAGCGCTTTCCCAGCATTGGGGAATCAAGCCCAAGCAGTACCTGCGTGAGGATGGCACGCCCTGGCCCTGGAATTCCTTCCGGGTGAGTAATTGGTTGGGATGGAAAATATAAGGATATGTGGGACAGAATTTTGGATGGAAAATATAGCGTTTATGTTGCTAAGGGCGTGTAACTTTTTCCGTTTCTGTCAATTGTCCGGACGGAGCCCCCAAAACGTACGAACGGAGCTCCGTCCGGACGATAGGGGATGTGGTTCGGACGATAGGGCGTCCGTACCACAGTTGTGACACTTTTTTGCAGTTTCGGAATGTGCGAGAAAGTAACGCACATAACCTGCCTCGCCAGAACATCGCCCGCTTCGCGACCAAGCTACGGCAGCTTGGAAATAGAGTCGCCAAAATCTATGAAAACCTTGCTTCGCGCGCCAATGACGTTGCAGGAGTTCCGGACGGTCCGAAATGTTGTCCGGACGGTTTCAGCGGCGTAGAACGGACGATGCTTTGACAAAAAAGTGTCAGTCATCGTACGGACGATGGCGACGTCGTAAGGGGTCTAACGATTATGGCGAAATTCGTAACCCTACAAAAGTCCGGACGGGGCCTCCGTCCGGACGATGAAGAGTGAAACGCCCTACACGCCCTAGGTCATTGTGCTTATCATTTTGTGCGTTTCTTCGGCTTCGGATCCTTGACATAGAGTCACTCACTATTTTCGTTTGGTGATGTGCGCAGCCCAAGGACAGCTACACCGCTAACCGAAAGACGGAACTTGACAGGCACTTTCCGGTTACCGGATTCGGTGACGCCTTCGCCAAGTACCTCGTGAAGTCGCTCCGCTTCCCCACCGACCTGTTCTTCCAGGTGTTTGCTCTGCTCCGCAACGGTCCTCGCTTCGTTTATGTTACCAGATTCCCGCCAGGACCTCTTCGTTGCCTTGTTCCTTGCCCTCCATTTCTTTGCTCTGCTGCATACGCATTTGTCGATTTTCCAGTTACTCCGCTCGTCTGGTTTATTTTTCTCTATTTTCTCTATTCCTCGTCGGCCATTTCCTCCCGTCGCGCAACACTCCACCGCGCCGAATCGGCACAGATGCCTCGCGATGGTGCCGGAAACGAGGTGACTTCCGCCTCAAACTCAAAATCCACCCTCCTCCCCTCCCCTCACCCCTCTGCACCGCACAGAAACGGTACGGATGCCGCGCGATGATGCTGGAAACCGTCGCGGCGGTGCCGGGGATGGTGGCGGGCGTGCTTCTGCACATGAAATGCCTGCGCCTCGTGGAGAACAGCGGCGGATGGATCCGCGCGCTGCTGGAGGAGGCGGAGAACGAGCGCATGCACCTCATGACCTTCATGCAGGTCTCGCAGCCCACGTGGTTTGAGCGCGGCCTCATATTCACCGTTCAGGTAAGCTATTCGTTGCGGGGCGGGGAGCAGTTCACTTCAGGTGAGCGGTTTTGGTGAGCCGTGGGTTGACTGCAATTCCTCTCTCACTGCGCGCGCTGCTGGAGGAGGCGGAGAACGAGCGCATGCACCTCATGACCTTCATGCAGGTTTCGAAGCCCACGTGGTTTGAGCGCGGCTTGATATTCACCGTTCAGGTAAGCTATTCGTTGCGGGGCGGGGAGCAGTTCACTTCAGGTGAGCGGTTTTGGTGAGCCGTGGGTTGACTGCAATCCCTCTCTCACTGCGCGCGCTGATGGCTGGAGGAGGCGGAGAACGAGCGCATGCACCTCATGACCTTCATGCAGGTCTCGCAGCCCACGTGGTTTGAGCGCGGCTTGATATTCACCGTTCAGGTAAGCTATTCGTTGCGGGGCGGGGAGCAGTTCACTTCAGGTGAGCGGTTTTGGTGAGCCGTGGGTTGACTGCAATCCCTCTCTCACTGCGCGCGCTGCTGGCTGGAGGAGGCGGAGAACGAGCGCATGCACCTCATGACCTTCATGCAGGTCTCGCAGCCCACGTGGTTTGAGCGAGGCCTTATCTTCACGGTTCAGGTGAGCCATTCGCATCGGAGCGCCGTTCACTTGAAGTGAGCTTTGAGACACTCCAAGTCTTCACAGCTCAGCCATGTGAGGCGTCCGTTCGGGTGAAACCTACCTTATCCAGAATAATGAGATGTCGGACCGTCTACGCACGTGATCCGCATCTGCCAACGATACGGACAGGCAGGATCCGTACTTGACTCCACTTTCGCCACCGTTTTCATCCCCTAAACTCTGTTTTCCTCCCTTCCATCCCCCTCCCCTACGTCCGCATCTATCAGAGCGGGTTCGCTGCAGTGTACGGCCTCGTGTATCTCCTCTCCCCGCGCATCGCCCACCGAATCGTGGGCTACCTGGAAGAAGAGGCAGTGCACTCATACAGGCAGTACCTCAAGGAGATCGATGAGGGCCGCATAGCCAACTCAACCTTGTTTTGTAAACTGTTTTTCTTTCTCTTTCAAACTCTTTTCTATTTTCCTCCCTGCCACCCCCTGTTTTCTGCATCTATCAGAGCGGCTTCGCTGCAGTGTACGGCCTTGTGTACCTCCTCTCACCGCGCATCGCGCACCGAATCGTGGGCTACCTGGAGGAGGAAGCAGTGCACTCATACACGCAGTACCTCAAGGAGATCGATGAGGGGCGCATCGCCAACGTGCCGGCGCCGCAGATTGCCATCGACTACTGGCAGCTTCCTCAAGACGCGACGCTGTATGACGTGGTGCTGTCGGTGCGAGCGGACGAGGCGCACCACCGGGACGTCAACCACTATGCTGCGGTGAGTCAGGGATTGCGGTTACCGTACCTGGGTACCACATGGGCATGTGGGGAGTGAGATTGCCATTGATTATTGGCAGCTTCCTCAAGACGCGACGCTGTATGACGTGGTGCTGTGCTGTCGGTGCGGGCGGACGAGGCACACCACCGGGATGTGAACCATTACGCTGCGGTGAGTTGAGAATGCGGTCATCTGATTACTATATGGGCGTGTGGGGCGTGTTGGGCGTGTGAGGCGTGTGGGGCGTGTGGGGAGTGTGGGGAGTGAGACAGGTTACTGGCAGCTGCCCAAGGATGCGACGCTGTATGACGTGGTGCTGTGCGGGCTGATGAGGCACACCACCGGGATGTGAACCACTACGCTGCGGTGAGTGGGAATTGTGATTTTCTGGTTATCACATGGGCGTTTGGGGAGTGGGGAGGAGTGTGGGGAGTGGGATTGCGATTGACTACTGGCAGCTGGCCAAGGATGCGATGCTGTATGATGTGGTGCTGTCGGTGCGAGCGGACGATGCACACCACCTGGATGTGAACCACTATGCAGAAGTGAGTCAGGGAGTGTGGTTACCCGGTTACATCATGGGTGTGGGGATGACGATTGGCTACGTACACCTGCCCAGTGCCCAGGGATGCGACACTCTATGAACCAGTACGTACGGTGACTTTGAGAAACGGTATTTGTTGGAGTATCCATGAGTTATTTATATTTATATTTATATTTATATCTATATTTTATTTATGCATGGCTTTTGAAACTCCTGCAGCAGCTCCTAGTTCTGTATGCCTCCCAATCTTACACGCCTCACAACGTCCCCCACCTCCTGGATTTCCCGATTCCCCTGTGCTGTGGCAGACCATTATCAAGGCAGGCAAGCATCTCAAGGAGCACCCAGCCGCCGTGGACTACCACTAACATGCTGCTGTGCTGATACAGCTTGGATACTTTGCTTGCTACACCATTCTCTCTGCATCCCACTGCCTGCTGTTTATATTCCCCATTCCACTCTCCACTTGGAACAATCCTCAGAGCTTATAAAGCGGTATCTAGCTGCAGTACCTCATGAATCGAAGGTTTGATTGTTGGTATTTATCAAAGGAGGGCTTAGCTTGTTGAGTGGGATTTGGGGTCTAAGTTTATCGTTGGTTTGACCTATGGAGTTCTTGAGGGGTAAGGTTATTGTTGCTGATTTCTGCTTGTAAGTGTATGAAGTCATTTTTCTACACTACTAAATTTACTTCTTGCAATGGTTGAACCAGGCAGAAACTGTGACATGAAATGGATATTTATCCATATAGGATGTTTGGTGTACACAGCATAAGCATATACAACAACGCACACGACCAATGCGAGACGAGGATGTGCAGTTTGTGGTGCTGAAGATCTTAGGGGCGTGTGCCCAACCAGGAAAGCAGAGTGTATGCATGGGTGAATGCATGGTTGCATGCATGGGTGAATGCATGGTTGCATGCATGGGTGCCTGTATGATTGCATGCATGGTTTCATGCATGGGTGCATGCATGGGTGAATGCATGGGTGCATGCATGGGTGAGCAGAAGTATGTGGAGGCACAGGCACACCGAGCAGCCAATGAGAACGCAGGTGAGAGCAGACATGCATGCTGGTGACAAAGGTACCTGTCTTCTGTTAGAATCATGCTGTCAACGTCTATGTACTATATTTTATATCAAGTAGATTATTCGTAGGTTAGGTGTAGATTTGCTATCCATCCTTCTCTGGTTATTTGTTACTCCCTCATAATCCAACTGATCTGCCAACTCACCATAGAAAATTTGGGTGAATTCCGATTCCATCCTTTCCCTTCCATTTCTCATCCCAACCTTGTTTGTACTTACAGCCTTATTAGGTAGTATATAAATTCAAAGTTCTTTTTCTCCTACAATGTAGCTTATACTTGTTCTGAGAGGATCTATGCAAGTATATCATTCAGGTTCCAGTGCTACTGGATCCCTCATGAGTGTCGGCCACTTGAAAGACAATTGTTGTCACTCATTTCACATGGTAAAAGCTGGTTGTAATCTCCCATGCCTCTCACCCCTGCGCCCCCCTTTTCCCCTCATCCCTGGCGGCGCCTCCCCACACTCGTCATCCCCTTCATCCAACATCTCTCACTCCGTGGCATGGCAGCCAGTGTGGACAAGTATCAGCAGCTGGTGACTCGCTTCCCCAGCAACGTGCATCTGCACCTGCACATGGGGCAGGTGAGGGAGTAACGTGCACGTGGGGTAGGTGCGGGAGAGACCTTCAGTTGAGTTCCCTGCACATGCACATGGGCAGGTGACTGCTTGCTTGGCACATCACCCCTGTACACCCATTTCATTCCACTCAGGTACCCATCCTAGCTAAACCCATCTCATGGCATGTGTTGCTCATGCCCTGTGTCACGCTCCGTGTGTCATCCTCTGTGTCATGCTCTGTGCCGTGCCCTGTGTCACGCCCTGTGCCATGTGCTTCTCGCGCCACCATCAGGTGGAGGCATCTCAGGGCCGCAATGAGGAGGCCATGCTTCACTACCAAAAGGTGAACCCCTTCGAGTCACTACCAAACGGTGAACCCCTTCTAGTCACTACCAAATGGTGAACCCCTTCTAGTCACTACCAAACGGTGAACCCCTTCTAGTCACTACCAAACGGTGAACCCCTTCTAGTCACTACCAAACGGTGAACCCCTTCTAGTCACTACCAAACGGTGAACCCCTTCTAGTCACTACCAAACGGTGAACCCCTTCTAGTCACTACCAAACGGTGAACCCCTTCTAGTCACTACCAAACGGTGAACCCCTTCTAGTCACTACCAAACGGTGCTCTCATCATTGTCACTTCCACTCGTTCTTGTCACTTTCAAACAGGAGGTTCTCTCATTGTTGTCACTCACTCCAAAGAGATACTCTCGTCATAGTTACTAACCGCTATCAGAAATTTCTGTCATTACTGTCGTCTGATTCCCCTCTCCTCGCATCATTCCCTGAGCCGTGACTCCCTCCTCCAGACAAAGAGATAGTTGTCACTCATGCTGGAAGGGCAGCAGTACTAAAGAACGCTAATGAACGATATGAGGCGCCTCCAAAATCTTCTGAGCCGTCACCCCCTCCTCAAGACAAGAGATAATATTTGTGGCACCTCGATTTTGTGACCCCGTCCCCTGCTCCACTCCACAATCCCCCAGCATTCTGTTGCTTCTGTTGCTGCTTTTGTAACTCAACCCATCTCACCTCCACCCTTACCCTCCTACCCTCCTACCCGTTTACACTCCTACCCCTGCACTCTAAACCCCATCAGCATCGTTTGCATTTCATGCATGACTATGCTCTAATGCTGCAGCAGCTGTTGCTGCTGTCGCTTGTCTCATAGTCCTTGCCTACCCTCCTACCCCCCTACACCCCTTCTCCAGGCGCGCACTCTAGACCCCTTCAACGTCGCCTGCATGCACGGCTACGCTCTGCTGATGCAGCTGCTGCCACTCATCTCATCCCATCTTCCATACTAACCGTCCCCAACCCCTCTCTTTCCCTTACACCCCTCCCAGGCCTGCACTCTAGACTATGGCCTGCATGGACGACTATGCTCTGCTATTGCTGCTGGTGATGTTACTCACACTCATCTCATCCTTCCCATCCCTACCCCCTCCAACCCCACAGGCTCGCACCCTAGACCCCTTCAACGTGGCCTGCATGGATGGGATGACTCTGCCCTTCTCCTCCTCTCCCTTGCCTCTCCCTGCTGCTGCTGCCGCTCATTGCATTCCACCTTCTCATCCCTACCCCCTTCCTCTCACAGGCTCGCACCCTAGACCCCTTCAACGTTGCCTGCATGGACGACTGTGCTGTGCTGCTGCTGGTGTTGGTGCTGATGCTGCTGCTGTCACTTGTCTCATATTCCGTGCCACCCCCCCACATCCCCCCCCAGGCCCGCACCCTAGACCCGTTCAACGTGGCCTGCATGGACGACCATGCCCAGCTCCTCCTGTCACTGGTGCTGCTGGTGTCTCATATTGTATCTCAACAACACCCCCACACCCCCCAGGCTCGCACGCTAGACCCCTTCAACGTGGCCTGCATGGACGATTATGCCCTTCTGCTGCTGCTGGTGCTGCTGGTGATGTTACTCTCACTCATCTCATCCCACCCATCTCTACCCCCTCCAACCCCCTCAGGCCCGCACGCTAGACCCGTTCAACGTGGCCTGTATGGACGATTATGCCCTTCTCCTCCTCTCCCGCCGCTCCCCCTCCGCCTCCTCCGCCCTCTCCCTCCCCAACCTGCAAGTCGACGCCAGCGTGGGGGGAGGGGGAGCAGCGGGGGGAGCAGGGGGAGCGGGGGGGGCGGAGCTGAGGAGGCTGACAGCGGAGATGGTGGGGGTGGGGGCGGGGAGGGTGGAGGCGTGGGTGGTGGCGGCTGCTTTGTGGATGAGCCGAGGGGAGCGAGGGAGCGCACTGGCATATGTGGATAAGGTGGGTGGGTGAATGGGGTGGGTGGTCGTATAGATGAAGGGAGGGCGGGGAGGGTGGAGGCATGGGTGGTGGCTGCTGCACTCTGGATGAACCGGGGGGAAAGAGGCAGTGCGTTGGCTTATGGGGATAAGGTGGGTGAGGAGAGTTCTTTTGGGTTGCCTCAGAGATCGCCTAGCTTCATGAGGGGATATGGTGGCTAAGAGGGCTGACAGGGGAGATGGTGAGGGTGGGGGCGGGGAGGGTGGAGTGGAGGCATGGGTGGTGGCGGCTGCGCTTTGGATGAGTCGTGGGGAAAGAGGTAGTGCGTTGGCTTATGGGGATAAGGTGGGTGGTATGAAGTGGGGAGAGAATGGGGAGAGTAGAGGCGTGGGTGGTGGCGGCTGCGCTGTGGATGAGTTGGGGGGAAAGAGGCAGTGCACTGGCATATGTGGATAAGGTGGGTGGTATGAAGTGGGGAGAGAATGGGGAGGGTAGAGGCGTGGGTGGTGGCGGCTGCCCTGTGGATGAGTCGGGGGGAAAGAGGCAGTGTGCTGGCATATGTGGATAAGGTGGGTGGGTGGATGGTAATGGGGTGGGTGGATGGTAATGGGGTGGGTGGGGGATGGGGTGGGGGGATGGGATGGGGGGGTGGGGTGAGTGTGGGGATGAGGTGGGTGTGCTGGCATGTGTCGAAGAGGTGACTCTGTCCCACTCCACTCACGCTCCTCACCCTCCCTCCTCCTCCCCCGGTCCACCCCCAGGCTCTTCAACTGGACGACCATCACTTCCCTGCTCTCCTCGCTAAGGTGCGCCTACCCCACCCTTCCCACCCTTACCACCCTCCCCACCCTCCCCACCCTCCCAACCCTCCCCTTCCTCCCCACCCTCCCCACCCTTACCACCCTCCCCACCCTCCCAACCCTCCCCTTCCTCCCCACCCTCCCCACCCTTACCACCCTCCCCACCCTCCCAACCCTCCCCTTCCTCCCCACCCTCCCCACCCTTACCACCCTCCCCTTCCTCCCCACCCTCCCCACCCTTACCACCCTCCCCACCCTCCCGTCCCTCCCCACCCTCCCCACCCTCCTCACCCTCCCCACCCTCCCCACCCTCCCACCCTCCCCACCCTCCCCACCCTCCCCACCCTCCCCACCCTCCCCACCCTCCCCACCCTCCCCACCCTCCCACCCTCCCCACCCTCCCCCCCCTCCCTCCCTCCCCACCCTCCCCACCCTCCCCACCCTCCCCACCCTCCCCACCCTCCCCTCCCTCCCCACCCTCCCCACCCTCCCCACCCTCCCGTCCCTCCCCACCCTCCCCACCCTCCTCACCCTCCCCACCCTCCCCACCCTCCCCACCCTCCCCACCCTCCCCACCCTCCCCACCCTCCCCACCCTTACCACCCTCCCCACCCTCCCAACCCTCCCCTTCCTCCCCACCCTCCCCACCCTTACCACCCTCCCCACCCTCCCAACCCTCCCCTTCCTCCCCACCCTCCCCACCCTTATCACCCTCCCCACCCTCCCGTCCCTCCCCACCCTCCCCACCCTCCCCACCCTCCTCACCCTCCCCACCCTCCCCACCCTCCCCACCCTCCCCACCCTCCCCACCCTTACCACCCTCCCCACCCTCCCAACCCTCCCCTTCCTCCCCACCCTCCCCACCCTTACCACCCTCCCCACCCTCCCAACCCTCCCCTTCCTCCCCACCCTCCCCACCCTTACCACCCTCCCCACCCTCCCAACCCTCCCCTTCCTCCCCACCCTCCCCACCCTTATCACCCTCCCCACCCTCCCGTCCCTCCCCACCCTCCCCACCCTCCCCACCCTCCTCACCCTCCCCACCCTCCCCACCCTCCCCACCCTCCCCTCCCTCCCCACCCTCCCCACCCTCCCCACCCTCCCCTCCCTCCCCCCCCCTTCCTTCCCTACCATCCCTCTCAACCAGTCACCTTCTCATCCTTTCATCGCCATGCTATTTTGATATGAACTGCCACGCTATACACAACGCCTACTCCCTCTCTCTTCATGCCATGTGCACTGGTTGGTTCTTCAGACTTTTTCAAACCATCCCTCCTTCCTCCTCTCTCCTCCCCGCTCCTTCCCCGCCAGTGCGCCATTCTGCTGCAGGCGGAGCGGTCACAGTCAGCAGCAGTGGCGTTTTGAGACGTCCCCCCCTCTGCCTTCCCCCCCTTGCTTCCCCCCGTTCCCCCACCCCCATCCCCATCAGGGCGCAATTCTGCTGCAAGCAGAGCGGTCAGAGTCAGCAGCAGTATCTGTTTTTTGAGAATTCTAAAAAATCTGGTCAGATTCAGCAGCAGTGGCTCCAAAGTCAAGCAGTCCCCTCGGGCATTCGTTCATATCCACCCCACCCCTCTCCACCCCTCTCCACCCCTCTCCACCCCTCTCCACCCTTCTCCACCCCTCTCCACCCCTCTCCACCCCACCTGTCCCCCCCACCACCATCCCCGTCAGGGCGCCATTCTGCTGCAAACCGAGCGGTCGGAATCAGCAGCAGTGGCGTCTGCAGCAGCGGCCATTTTTCGGAGGGCGTACACACAGAAGCAGGACCTGCGGGTGTTCCAAGGTGGGTACAGAGGGGGAAGGAAGGGGGGTTGTAGGGTGCGAGGATAAGGTTATAAGGCGCTTCAGCAGCAGCAGCTGCCACTTTCCGGAGGGCCTACACACAGAAGCAGGACCTGCGCGTGTTCCAAGGTGGGTGGAGGGAGGTGGGGTTGTGAAGGGGGGGAGCGGGGGGTTGTGGTGGGGTGCAATTGTTTAAGTGCTTCAGCAGCAGCAGCCATTTTCCGCAGGGCGTACACACAGAAGCAGGACCTGCGCGTGTTCCAAGGTGGGTACAGAGGGGGGGATCGTGGTGGGTCGGTGGGGAGTAGGGAGTAGAGGAGGAGATGAAGGGAGCCTACACCCAGACAGCAGTCTCTTTCCGGAGGGCCTACACACAGCAGGACCTGCGGGTGTTCCAAGGTGAGGGGGGTAGCGCGGCGCGGTGGAGGGGAATGGGGAAGGTTGTAAGGCGCTTCACAGGCAGCAGCCATTTTTTTTAGGGTAGTGGAGGGGAAGGAAGGAGGGTGGTAGGGTGTGTGTGTGTGTGCTAGGATGAGTTGAAAGGAGGTCTACACACAGAAGCAGGACCTGCAGGTGTTTCAAGGTGGGTAAGGGGGGGGTGGGGGGGAGGGGGGGTGTAAAGTGTCTGTTTGTGTGCGAGGAGGTGTGAAAGGAGGTCTACACACAGAAGCAGGACCTGCGGGTGTTTCAAGGTGGGTACAGAGGGGGGTGGGGGGGTTGGTTGTAGTGGGGGAAAATGTTGAAGGTGCTTCAAAAGCAGCAGCCCTTTTCTGGAGGGCTTATATGAGGAAACGTTTAAGGCTCTTCAAAAGCAGCAGCTATTTTCCGGAGGGTGTAAACGCAATAGCAGGACCTGCTGTGTTGCAAGGTGGGTAAGGGAGGGGACTTTTGTGGTGGTGCTTCAAGAGCAGCAGCGGTTTTTGGGGGGACCTATACGCAGTAGCAGGACCTGCGGCTGTTCCACTAGCTCCCTCTGTCAACTCCTGTCAACTCCTGTCAACTCCTGTCAAATTCGGCCCAATCCGAGCCTACCGACCCTCTTCTGCCTGCTGGACCCCGGACCTCCCATCCAGGTCTGGTCCGAGCCTACCTGCGCATTCCGAAGCTGAAGGAGGCCATAGCAGCGGCTCGGGAGGCAGTCAAGGCGTTTCCCAACTCTGCCAGTGCCTTGTCTCTTCTGGGGGAGGTGTATCTGCAGCACAGCGACAGCAGGGACAAGGTAACGTAACCACGCCCTTTACCTCTTTTTCTTCTGATCAGCGTGTTTCTGGAACGTTTTCTCCTTAGTTTTCTTGTTGACTCTACGGTCCCTTTCCAGTGCTGTGAGAATTGACTTGCTGTGCGAATTGACACGGAGGCAGCACTGATGATGGACCGTTGAGTGTCTCAACCCTCAGTCACACGATGTGTATCATGTTCCTTTTCATTCCATGTCTCATGGTCGTTTATGCCTTGTACAATTTCCTCCTTCCCTTCTCTCCCTCCACTTGCACGCGCGAGCGCGCGCACACACACATACACACCGTTCCCGCTTCCACTCACACCCGCACACGCACACACATACTGCAGGCGCGCAAGGTGTTTGAAGTGGCACTACGGATGGACGGCCGCTGTGGCGCTGCTGTCACGGGATGAGCTAATAACCTCATGTACCTCCCGTCTTTCCCTCACACACACACGTGTGCACGCGCGCGCACACACACACGCACACACCAGGCGCGCAAGGTGTTTGAGGCGGCACTGAGGATGGACGGCCGCTGTGGCGTCGCAGCTGTTGCTGCTGCTCCTTCCCCATCGTTAGCCCCTTGTTTACGTCTCCTCCATCCACCTTCTCCCCCTCTCCCCCTCTCCTCCTCTCCCCTCTGCAGGCCCGCAAGGTGTTTGAGGCGGCACTGAGGATGGACGGCCGCTGTGGTGCTGCTGTCACGGGCCTGGCAGACGCGCACACCATGGACGGGCGGCATGCTGCTGCCATTGACGTGTGAGTGGCTGGTCCTGTGGACCCCTGTGGATCCCTGTGGACCCCTGTGGACCGCTGTGGACCCCTGTGGATCCCTGTGGACCCCTGTGAACGCATATGAACCCCCAAAAGGCACAGCACGGGCAGACGCTCACAGCATAGACGGGGCAGCATGAGGTGTGAGTGGTAGGATGGTGTCATGAGGCTCATCTCTTCTGAGTCGACTCAAAAGTCATCTGTGGATGTGTGAGTGGTAGGATGGTGTCATGAGGCTCATCTCTTCTGAGTCGACTCAAAAGTCATCTGTGGATGTGTGAGTGGTAGGATGGTGTCATGAGGCTCATCTCTTCTGAGTCGACTCAAAAGTCATCTGTGGATGTGTGAGTGGTAGGATGGTGTCATGAGGCTCATCTCTTCTGAGTCGACTCAAAAGTCATCTGTGGATGTGTGAGTGGTAGGATGGTGTCATGAGGCTCATCTCTTTTGCATGCAGCTGCTCGGAGAATCATAAGTTAGATCGGAAGTGGTGCAGCAGAGCATTGGGTACTGGCACAGTGCTGCTGTGGTGGACGTGTGAGTGCTTTCCTGTGTGTACTTGCCTTTCCTCTCCCAACCCCCTTTTCTTCTCACAACCCCCTTTTCTTCTCACAACCCCCTTTTCCTCTCACAACCCCCTTTTCCTCTCGCAATCCCCCTTTCCCTTCCCGTTCCATGCCACCAGGCTGAAGCGCCACCTGGCAGTGGACGCTGCTTTGACCCGCCAAAAGCATTCCTGCACTCCCCTCTCGCTCTCCATGCGTGCATACGACCAGGCTGCAGTGGATGCGGGATATGAGGCGCCCAATAACAGACACCCCCCTTTTCCTTTCCCTCTCGTGTGTGCATACCACCACACTCGAGCGCCACCTGGCAGTGGACGCTGCTTTGAGCCGCCAAAAGCATATTTTTGAGGCGCCTAAAAAATGAGCCGCCAAAAGCATAGTTTTGAGGCGCCTCAATAATGAGCCGCCAAAGCCATTCATGCACTCCCCTCTCCCTCTCGTGTGTGCACCACCAGGCTGGAGCGCCACCTGGCAGTGGACTCTGCTGACTGGATCCACGTGAAGCTCGGGTTCGTCCACATGGCGGCCAACCGGCTGCCCGACGCTCTGCACCATCTGCAAACGGCTCTCAGGTGATGATGACGTGGCATGTTTTGTCCCATATGATCAAACATGACACATCCCATGACATTCCATGACATGCCATGACATCTGTTGCCCAGGATTCCATTTCCAGTTTCCTCTCCCCGGATATAGTTCTGCTTGTATGCATGCCAGCACGCTACATGCCAGCACGCCACATGCCAGCACGCCACATGCCAGCACGCCACATGCCAGCACGCTACATGCCAGCACGCCTCATGCCAGCACGCCAGCTTCGAACATGCTAGACTCGCATGCATTCACCCACCAGTGTGCAAACACTTGTGCCTGTGCACAACCATTATCTCAATTAGTGTGTGTTGCCTTTTGCATGCACCTCTTTGCCCCTGCACAAACTCCCATGTCAGCATCAACCCGACCAATGAAAACGCCAAGAGAGGGCTCAATCGCATCGACAGACTTCTGAAGGTGATCCCTAACTTGTCATGACATGCAATGGGATGATAAGTCATGACATTCAATGGGATGATAAGTCATGACATGCAATGGGATGATAAGTCTTGACATGCCCACATCACACTCCATGCCATGCTGTTCCATACCATCCATTATTGTACGGTACTACGGTACTCATGCCGCACCCATCCCACTGCTATTGCACGCCACACCATCATTGTCTATCTCTTGTGTTGCTGGCTGGATGGTCATCGGCCACACAGTGCAAGGCTAACACCTTGTCTCTTTCATCAATGCTCACAGGGAGGTGATGGGGACGACGAGGAGGAAGAAACCTCCACGCAGTATGGCACTGGCAGTCCTCTCTTTGAATGACATGTGGCAGCAAAGTGGACATAAGCAATGAGTTTCTTTCCCCTTGGTTTTATCACTGAATCTGTCAGGAGTTGTGAATGAAAAAGTGCAGGGATTTAGGGTATCACAAAGGTAGTGTACCGGTACCATTCAGCACTGCATTGCACCCACCATATAGTGCAACCATTTTAACCGCACTGTATCTGAGACATTAAGCTTTTGTGACACGCCCCCTGAATGTATCCTAAAATGTCATTACTACTGACAATACAATAAGGCTAGCAAATGCTTACGAGACCATTGTTATTCTTCTGGCCAAACCTTGTGACAACGTGAACCATGAGATGAGATAATTACACCGCAAAAAGAGTTGTTGAAGCTGCTACGGTTAGGCTCCTCAGCTTATGTCAGTAGTTAGCATTATACTAGTACATACTGTATACCTCTCGCCGCAAGGTCGCAGCTCAAATTGCGCTTGCGCCTTGGGAAAATCGGCAGAACGGAGTATCCTCCGCTGTAAGCTCCCTTCGATATGAGCTATAAGGTTAGTTTCCCGTGACCAGCTAAAAACTTGTGTGCGCGCTTTCCGCCGAAACACTAGCAAGCGACCAAGCGCTCCTCCCAGCACCACATCCCCAAACCCGCCACATCCCACTGCGCAGCTTCCCGCTCCTCCACTTCAAGCTTCTCCCCAATCGCATCCGCGCAAAGGTCATCCAACGGCCCCTCAGCTTCCGCCGAATCCTCCCCTTCCGCCACCACGCTCCGCCCAATAAATGAGTCCCCGCAAAGCTCCGCCTGCAGCAGAGCGCCGATGTCCTCCGCGCCGAACGTTTCCGCCCATAAGCAGGCACCAGCTCCGCTCACAGAACTCGGCGGAACCACGGTAGCTAAAGACTGCGCATCTTCCGAGAAAAAAAAATCTTCACCGCAAGCAGACTCTCTCGAAAGCGTGCAGTCAGTCTCCTCCAGGCCTCCGCCAATCCTACTGCCGCGCGGGTGATTGCCTGCAGCGGCGGAGCAGGCAGAGTCCGCCGGGGAAGCTGAAGCTGGCGGACAGCCGTCCACCTCTCCTTCGCCCTCGTTTTCTTCCCCGAGCGCCTCGAGCACCCACCAAGGGAGGCTTGACGAGGGTGAGATGGCATTAGGCGCGCCGCGGCAATCCGCGCTCGTTGCGCTGAACGCTTCCGCCTTTCCGCGGACTCTCCGCTCCAGTGGCTCGTCCGCAGCCCTCTTCGTTCCGCGCACGTTGGATTGCGTCGATTCTTCACACGGTTTTCCCGCGAAGCGCTGCGCTTCGGCGGGAATGTCGCTGAACATATCGGACTCGTCGAAGTTCGAACCGCTGCCCTCCTTCATTTCCACGCCGGCCGCGCTGCTGGCGCCGCTGTAGTCGCAGTCGAGAGGAAGAGGTTGGCAGCAGTCGGTAGCGCCGGCTCCGAGCAGAACGGACGGACGAGAAAGGTCGAAGGCTTCGGCGGCAGCAGGAGCTGCGACGAAAAGAGACGCACGGCTCGCGATGTGACCAAGCGACGACGTCGCAGACGCGGAGGGGGACGCTGGAAGCGCAACGGGGGTGCGAGCGGAATAGCCGAGAGCTGGCGCCATTTGTTCTAGACGAGCGGATTCCACAAAGACGTGTCTCGGAAGGCGCGTCGCGGTAATGGCTTGGACGGTGATGCTATTATCAGCAGAATACGTCGATGTGCAGGGCTTACTAAATTGCCTTAAAGGCAAACGGTAGACGAGCGGCGTGGCAGCCTCCATTCTAGTTATAAGTGGACCTACCTACGTAATCTATTACTCCCTACTGTGAGTAATTGCCCCAACAGTGGAGAACAAGTCTAGAGACCGCTGGACAAGATCTTGAAACAGCGGTGCGGTAGGAACTTGGACAGGGGTGGTGGTGAGGGCTGAGCGATTTGGGGAAACTGAGGGAGGGAGGAGGAATTGCAGCGAAGGTTGCAGGCCAAGTGCGTGTGGGTTAGGGCAGAGCAGAACGGAAAGAACAAGTGGGAGTTTGGGGGAATAAATCTCCTCACTGGATGGCAAGCTTCGCGCATCGAATTTGCTGCCAATGGCAGCTTGAAGCAGCTTGGAGAGGATCTTGAACCTGACAAAAAAGCGCAGCGCCAGGCAGAATTGGCGGAGGATTCGGCCCAGCCGCGCGGAAGCCGGTGTAGTCGGCAGGGTGCGGTGAAAATGTGGTGCGCGCCCCGGTAGCGCGCAGCGTGCATGAAGGGGGGGAGCACGAGCACCCCGCTAGGTGAAAGCACCCGGTGGGGTTTGGGTGCTCCAACTTTGAACACGTCTGCGGAAGATTTTGGACAGAGAGGACTTTCGCGGAACACCAGTTGGCGAAATGCAGAACTCCAGCAGCTTGGCGGAAAACCTGGAAGCTGGCTGGTTGAGAGGTGAACGACCCGAGGCGCGCGAAGCATGAGGATCCACGTCATTACACCTCATATGGGCGCCAAGTCCCGACGATGAGGACCAAACTCCGTTTCTCCAACGTGGAAAGGAGCACACGGGTCACGGGTACAGATCTCAACGAACTCGGGCAAAACTGTAGGCACTTCATTTAAATATACTGGGTATTCTAGAGGCATCCTGTTGTCCAAGTTTCAAAAATGTATGTACGGTACTGGCTGATGGAGGGGGAGATTCGGTGTGGATGTTTTGAGATGATGTGCTCTTACCAGAATCGCACGTCAATAGTAAACAATACGAATACCCCTCGAATCGAAACCCCTATCGATTTCGAACGGTCAGGTTCATGACGATTACGCACTCTTTTCCAAGGAGCAGTTTTGAAATGAAAGCCACGCGATTGTATTTCTGCCCGATCCCTACCCTCGAAATCCCTTTTCGTCGCGTACAGCACTATCCAAACACAAATGCTTTCCAACTGGTAATTCTCCGTACCGAAAAAAATATACCACGCTGGCTACTGAAATCACATGTGTATCGGTTTGCCGTCCTCCAATGTTCCCTTCTCAAACGGGGGCCGATGTGGAATAACCCCCATAACAGTCGTTTTCTTGCAATGCATCCTAGTTTTCCAAGATGGACAGACCGCTACAAATACACGTCAAGGCGGCGAGGCTCCGTTTGTTCCTCCCGACGCGAGCTGCGATGCCCGCATTCTGTCCTTCGTACCTGCCCACACTGCCCCATTACTGTACAGGTGATTATGGTCCATCCCATGTCAGTACCCGCGAACGAAACGATTTCGCGGTCAGATTCTGCCAACACTTGACAAAAAGTGGCTGCGTGAAAACTCAGGCATCACGTGAATCCAGCTGGCGGCCAATGAGGTTGATGCTTCCACGTATCACTCCGGATTTCCAGCATGTCAATAATGTCTTGTTCACCAGCCCAGCATCAATCAGCACAAGGCGAAACGAGACGCTGCAGCATGAATGCAGTTTCCTTCAAGTAGGGTAATTGCACTTCATGTACAGATCTACACAATCAAGACATATTGTCTTCTAATAACATTACAACTACTTTTTATACGGAAACTAATCATCCACATTTTTGAAAGAACAACGCATGTTTAGCCCAAGCATATAGTTTTATTGAATTTATGTACTTATGTAAACGTATATCACTTCATAATTATTGGCAAAATGTGCAAAACAAAATGAAGTATAATCATTGTCATGCTAATATTTTATGCATTGTAGCAATAATATGCAAAAATAAGGCCGTTCTGATACAGATATAGATATCTTAATACAATCATATAGATAAATAATTTAATTATTAAGCGAAGACGCTGATTCGGCCCCTACTGAATTTATAGTTTAGCAAAATTATTAAAAAATGAAAACATATTATTTGTTTTCGACGATTGTGCAGTTCGTATTGTTAGCAGATGCATTTTGTGTCGCCAATACCTCCCCTGATACGTGACGTTTCTGCCCACGGACTCCATCACTCGAACCTTCAAGCGACCCAATCTGGTCGTTTAAAGACAACAATATATTCACCGTGGGGCAATGCTACGACGACGAAGGCAAACAAGACTAGAACCTTCCAGTCTCACTATTCGAGAGCCCTCCGCATGTATACGATCCAAGGCCAGCACCCACCATATGAAGCGTACGTGAGCGTTTCCTCGAGCTCGACACTCCGCATATCATTACCTCACGCCTTACGCTCCTCACTAGCGACAAGACGTAAACCACAACATCTGGTACACGGAAACCGTACTCACCACTACATTCGCGTACAGACTAAAGGCAAACGTGAAAAGAATCGTTGTGCTGAAGGCATATGACAGCAACACGCACGTCACCTTGAAAGACATACTCATCGTGATGAACTTGCGCGTCAACCTGCTGCCGTAGTCGCAATTCATTGACTGCTGCATCAGACTTTGCACAGACCTGCAGTCGCGTGACATTCATATACACTACGTCGCCCCCGACAAACCTCGCCGCTACCTAGGACGAGCTCGTCCTAAGAAGGT